CGTTGTCACTTGATGTAACTGAGTTTGTTTGAGATAGGATGTTAGATGTTAGTAGTTACTTTAACTAATATTTGAAATAAAATTCTCATATGAAAGAAACTCAAACAATTTTGCAGTAGCTAATTAATTAAAATTTTTGTTAAAAAACGTACTTCGTTACTCCTCCAGCCAGTCACATTTTTTGATATTTGTATAAGTTATTAGTGTAAGTACATAAGTAGGGTTATATTGCAGTCGAAGTTCATAGTTGGTATGTTGTTCATTAGCCAATATGTAACGAGTTAATTAGTCCTATGATGTAATGAAACTGCTAATAATATTGGAACACATAATTAATCTTCCAAACTTAGCGTTTACATGTCATTAGTAAGTATTAATTGATGTACTTAATTATGTTCTGAACATGAGTATGTAATAGAACCAATTTCCATAATAATAAATAAAGCCCGAATATCAATACTGATTATAATTATGGAGTTTTCACCTTAAAAATTTTCGAAACATATATCTCCGATAACACTCATAAGAAAGGCAAAAATTTTATTTTTCCGTTTTAATAAACATGCTTACAACTTAAAAATATGACAACCGAAAGTTATTTTAAGCTTTGCTGGCCATTTGCTTTTGAAACCATTAACAATACATACACATCAAGGGTGTCTCCAAGCCGAATTTTCGGGGGGTGGGAGTGATGATCATTGCTATTAGTCATTCTGTTTTTAGCATATTTTTGATTTTAATAAAATGCTTATCGATTGTAAGAATTTTCATCTCTGGAACCAGTATAATGTCTGCTGTCATTTTTTTTCTTCTCTCGCCCATAGATACATAAGTATTCAAAAATAAGGTGTAAGGTGTAAGGTGTAAGGTGTAAGGTGTAAGGTGTAAGGTGTAAGGTGTAAGGTGTAAGGTGTAAGGTGTAAGAATCATAAATAAACGTAAAATTTATCGTAAATTCAAAAAATTTAAATGGTTGCTCGTAGGCACACAAATAGTAACCTGTTTTTATTTTTTTGAAATACGACTTAATATATTATGTATTGTAATAAGTTTATATAGTTTTTAATGACATATTTGAGTAGAACAGTGCTTGATTTATTGAGCGAATTTCAGTGTTTTTTTTTTTTCACAAATTTTAACTGTAAATAGTGACTTGTTTTTTTATTTTGGTCATATGAGACCTGTATGGTTTTGGTTAGTTTTTACACTTATACTTTAGGATTCAAAGTTATGTACATTGGCCTGTTTCTCTCTAATCAGCTAATTTAAAGAGAATATTTACAGAAGTATCATTTTTTTATATTGGCCATTTATCTTAAACTCACCGATTTAAATTAGACTTTATAGTAAGTGAATATGGTAAAGTGATCTTTGGAAGCATTTACAAGGTATAATGAAAAAAAAAAAAAGGGGATGGGTCTGGATCCTCACACCTTAAGAGATGCATATTATTTTGACTAATGTCTTTATATAACATGTGTAACAATATGATTACTTAGTTAAGTCTTTATTTACAACTAAAAACATATTAAAAAGAAAAATCAACAGAACATGTTTCTAAAACTCTATAAATAATTAAGGCATAACTATCTATTACTGATTGTCAATAAAGGTATTAACAATATTATCGAGAAAACGTTTATATTAATACAGAGCACACACCTGCTGTTTTGTCACAAATATTTATATTATTGAAATAATTACTGTCATTACCTATATCCTTTATAAAATATGAATTTTGATTTAAATTTTCCTATAATTCGCACTAGATGAATTCAGATGAACATTTTTCCTTGTTCCTTGTTTAAATTACTGCTTGCTTTACCTAAAATATACAATAATCAGTAAATAAGGCAAATAGCTTTATTTTGCTTCACTTCACATTTTAAAAATGCTGGCAACACTTTCATATTTGGTTTTGCTATCGTCAAATTATCTAGATTAAATACATGTAGAAAGAGACTATGAGTATAATGAAAACTATAGAATAGTCCTGGATCCGTAAGTAAGGTCGACTTTCACCCATCTGTTTAATAGATAAAAGTTTTTTTTTATTATATAAAATATGTTTTTAAATATACCGCAAATGGGTTGCCTAAAAAAATACGGTCACGGCCATTTTTTGCTTTCCTTTCTGTATAAAGATAAGGAAAGTATAGGAATCATAATAAAAGTTGCTTATGATATCATTCTCTATTATTTTGTTCCTATACATGATTTTCCTAAAATGGACCTAATTCGAGATATTTAAGGAAAAGTGCAAATTTCGAATTTTGAAGACTACTCTAAAACGGATAAAGAGAAAAACACCAAATTTTAAACTTAAGCTTTAATCTATCCTGCGGTCAGCTGATTAAAGTTTGGGCATAGTACCATCTGGGGAATATTTTACAGGGTGTCGTATTTTTTATATTAAGAAAATAAATACTCTGGTCCATATTTTCTAAGGCAACCCTTTTGCAGTATATTTATAAACAAATTTTATTTAATAAAAAGAAACTTTTATCCATTAAACATATGGGTGAAGGTCGACCTTATTTCAGATCTTAGACTAGAAGCAGTTTGTTTCGCTGTCAGAGTAATCCATATACCATAACGATAATACACCACTGTAGTATTGTCACTATTATTAATATTTTAAAAGTTATTTCAATGAATTTAAACATTAATTTTGTAGATTTAACATATGTAATAGGTACTCAATACCAATTTATAAAACCTGTTGTGAAATGCCTTATTTAATGTAACGAGTGAATATTTGGGTTATTTTGTCGTGTACTGTGTTTTAATTATTTTCTGCTGATTCGGACTGAAAAATAAGGACCAAAATAAAATTATTACTAGGTTATAAGTTTAACCAAATTCTATTTTAATAAGTTAACCTGCACTTCTTTAATATAAACTTTCAATAATAATGTATATTATTGATTTTAAAACCAGACCAGATTTATTTTTGTTTGTTCTCTTTTATTTTCGCAACTGGTGATGTACTGAATTTTTCGAAACCAGTTTCATAATGTTCAACAGAGATCATTTTGACACTTGCTGCGATTAAAAAAAAATGTCAAAATCAGAATATTAGTTTGTGCAACAAGAGTGGACATGATGGCCATATCGTACGATGACGAAATTAATTTTTTTTTCAAAACGTGGACCAATTAAAAATTAAAAAGTTATTATTTATTTATTCTACACAAAAAGAACTCATTTTAATATACAGGATGAGTCAGGAGGAGCGCACCAAACTCTAGGAGTATATTATACACGTGAAAATAATGTAAAAAAACTCATATTGTCTTATCCGATTTTCATTTGTTTTCAAGTTATGGCGTAATTAAAAATGTTCATCTAACTTTCCACTTTTGAATTTTAACATTATCAAAGTATGCCATATCTTCAAGGCTCAAAGGCATTTGATAATTCTGACGTAACTGAACGTTTAATTTTGAATTTATGCGATTGTTAGTGTTGCAAAATGCCAGATACTTATTCAAATTTAGAATATGCAAATATGGTGTTTGTTTATGGTTTCTGGAAATGCTACAGCTGCTGCTGAAGAATATCGTCAACGTTTTCCACACCGAAGACATCCTGATTTATTAGAGTTTTCAACAAATTGTACGAGACTGGTAAGCTTCCCAGTGCTTTCATAACATCTGAACGCGCTACTCCACAAGGTTTTGTAGAAGTAGAAAATATTCTGCATCTAGTAGAAGAAGATGCAACTACTAGATCACGGAGAATTGCCACTCAATTGGGAATTCCACAAAAAAGAATGATAAACACACTCCACGAGCAATGCTTATATCCTTATCACGTACAGAGAGTACAGCACCTACAACCACAGGATTACGCTAACCGTATGGAGTTTTGTCGGTGGATAAATAATAGTCATCGTGTTATATCGAGTATACTTTTTACGGATGAAGCTACATTTACCCGTGATGGCATTAATAATACTCGTAACTGTCATGTATGGTCAGACGAAAATCTCAACGCAACAGTCGAAAGCAATTTTCAACATCCGTTTTCTGTAAAAGTGTGGTGTGGTTTGGTTGACAGTTATTTAATTGGCCCTTTCATTTTGGAGAATCGTCTCACAGGAGACAACTACCTCAATTTTTTACAAAATAAATTACACGGCCTGCTGGAGGATGTTCCTGTAAATATTAGAATGCAGATGTACTATCAGCACGATGGAGCTCCTGCACATGTCGCTCGTCAGGTCAAGCAACATTTGGACGAACGTTTTCCAGGGCGTTGGATTGGTCGTGGAGGTCCTATTAATTGGCCTGCAAGATATCCAGACCTAACACCATTAGATTTTTGTTTATGGGGCTGGATGAAAAATGAAGTCTACAAAATAAAAGTGGACACACAGGATGCACTAATTAGACGAATTGAGAATACTTCAGCCCATATTAAAGAAGAAAGAAATGAATCAATTAGGAGAGCAACAAACGCTCTTCGTAGACGAAGCAGAAAATGTTTACAAGTCAATGGCGGTATTTTTGAACATTTATTGAAATAACGCTATGATTAAGAAAATTTTTATGTATAAATTTGTTTATTTGTTAATATGCTATAACTTGAAAACAAATGAAAATCGGATAAGAACGTTTGAGTTTTTTTACATTATTTTCACGTGTATAATATACTCCTAGAGTTTGGTGCGCTCCTCCCGACTCACCCTGTATATTTAATCTCAATAACTAAAAAATATACCAGTTTGACAGAATTGTCACTTATTTTAAATTTTAAAAATAATAGTAGTTGGGTATCCAAAATATGAACTATGATTGGTGTTCTCACTACCTGGAATGGATATGAAATATATTCGTTCAGTTAAACGCTATGCTATTACGTTTTCTAGTATGTGCGTAGATTAGCTAATATCCATGTGGGTGTAGGAAAAAATATATTTTTGAAAGTTTCATTAATATTTGCACTACTGTTATTGATATTCTATCCATCACTGTTTAATATTTTTTTTATTACAGATTATCCTTAATTTATCAACAGCCCAATACCCCCCGAGACTTCAAATTCCAGGAGCATCCTTATTAGACAATTCCAGGTCAGCTCAACTTAGACAGCAAAGGCTCAACGCTCAAGATTTCATTCCCAGACCTAGACGACCTAGTCAGTTGGCGCTTCCCGCTAGAGAAATTCGTCCCGTTGTAGAAGAAGAACAGGAGAACTATCCTCAACAGTCCCTGGCATCATTTGATGCTGAAGTTAATAAACTGAGTATTCCAGCTCTGTCTACGGCCATAAGGTAAACATGATTGTTTAGTAACAAGAAAAAACTAATAATAGTCATATCATTCTGAATTCTGAACCATCTGGGAAATACGAAGTCACGTTGCATAGATTATTATAACGAGTGGACCACAAAAAATGTTTCTAAAATAGGCCATGATTGACAAAGGCACACTATAGGAACATTTTTTGGATCACTATATATTCTTGGTATACTTAAACTTTTATGCTTTACCAATTACGATTTATTTTACACCTACTCTAATGCATAATTCAAAATTGACGGAATCAATAATGAAACTTATATGAAAAGAAAAAGTCTCTCCTCTAATAGCATTATTCAAAATTGACGGAATCAACAATAAAACTTATATGAAAAGAAAAAGTCTTAACGTAGATATTTTTGTGAGAATAAGAGAAAATAAACCCACTAGTTTAAGGTTGGGATAAAATAGTGGTTTTAAAACCAAATGATATTAAAATTGAAATAGGGTGGCACTTGTCATATGTAAGGCTCCAGAAATATTTACTGTTGACTCTAAAAGGGACACGTTTGTCACAAAAATCTATGTAAAACACACTCTAATAAAACTAGATAATATAATTAAATTGAAAGTAGAAATATAATATTTATATTAACCTTACCAGAACGTTAATATTAACGACATCTTACTATGCATTCATATATTCATATATATTCATAAATTCATATATATATATTCATAAATTGATATATATAGGAAGAGAAATATGTTCCAATTAGAAAATAATTTGTTTCTCAAAAATAGAACCACGATTCGTCAGATTTATAAAAAGTAAACAGACATAGCCTTCTTACTAAGATTGTTATATTTTTATTATATTATAGGACCCACATCCCCTGCTCTTTACTTTTACCAGGCTTGCAACCGCGACCCCCAGAGCGACTTTGCAGCCCCCTCTGGGATATGTTTGAATACACTATGTTCATTGATATTATTGGAAAGTTCTTTGACCAACAATAAACAATGAAAATGGCGTAATGCCGAAAGAGCTTTGAAAAAAATTTTGCACGAAATACAAATTTTTTTAGTGACCTAAATACGTATATACAATTATTAGTCACCAGTTTACTTAATTTTGTACTTTTTTTAGATTTCTAATTGACTTTCAATTACCACAATTTGTGATGTTAAACCTAAATTGTACCTATTTATTTTTTTTTCTTAGTTTCTTGGGACTAAGGCTTGTCTAAATTAAACATCAAAAATTGTTATACAGGGTTTTAAAAAAGAATGTAAAATATTTAAAGAAGTTCCAGCATGGACCAAAATAAACAAAAAAATCTTAATAAACATGGAACCGCAAAGTAGCTCTTCCGTAAATATGGAAATTTATTCTTTTTTACTTCCTTTTTTTATTTTGCAAAAAACTAAAAACTTGAATTTTCTAATCATAGTTGGCTAATGTTTTGTAATATTTAAAAACATTATTCTATGGTATTTTAGGAGTTTCAAGAATAGTTCGAATATTCTTTAAAAAAAGATTTGCATGCAAGAAAATAATAAGGCACTTTGAACATGTAAATTTGTTTTTTGGTTTTTCTAGAAACTTCTTTTGTTTCTTTGTACATAATAAATAAGTAATGGTTAATAATTGTGATTAAATGTTTAAAAAAGAATAACCTATCACACTTTTTAATATTATCAAAGCTTTCTTTCAGAGTGTTTTATTAATTTTGATTTAACTTTGGTTTTCTTTTTTATATTATTACAATGGTGTTTTCTTGTTTGCTTTGTTCATTGTATATGTCGCAGCCAAATTGTAAAACCCGTCGTTTTATAAAATGTCTAGACATTTTACAAAAGGCGGCCAGATTGTCAAATTATCATTTAACATTCATTATTTTCCGATCTGGCTAGTCAGATTGTAAAATGCCTAGGTGTTTTATAAAATGACGGTCAACATGCGGCCAGATTGTCAAATGTTTAAAATTATCTGTTTGACATTCTGGCGGGTGAAATGTTTTAGTCGTTTTATAAAATAGGAATTTTACTCTAAAGTTAGGGCCATCAAAATTTTTATTCATGGATTTAATGGAACTAAAACATTTTATAACGAATATTTAATTTATTTTTCTAATAAACAGAAAAAATTAAACTGAAGAACAAATTAAACTATAGAACAAATAAAACTGAAGAACAAATGACCAAGATAAAACAACATTTGCTAAGCTTAAAAAACCAATAATAGTCTTAGATCCGACCGTATGATTTCTGCACTGTTTTTTAATCAAAATACAATTTTTAAAATATGGCTTTGTATTATTACTTAAAGGTATATTTCTGTTATTTATGATTATTATTTCTCAATTATATTCCAACGACCAAAATTATAGAGAATAGCATCACAAACAACTTTAATTAAAAGAATTTTCTTCTATAAACAATTATAAGAGAAATACACCTTAGAGTAGAAAACGGTACTATTAAAAGTACTTACGGCCATATTTCCAGGAAACCCATATCTTTGAAGCATATTTTATTTATTAGAACATGGACCATTGAAATGACACCTACTGTGGCATTTTTTCCTTTCCTCAAAACCAAGACATTTGCCTGTACAGCATTTAAACTTTACTAGGTTTTCACTGGCTTTAAACCCTTGTCCCTCCAAATTAAAAAACCCTTAGAAATAGCTTCTCTTAACGTAATACTGTTATTTTATTGATTTAAATTTGTCGTACCAAATGATTTAAGTAAGTCCCTAGAAAACCGCCGATTTAAAGCCCATGTTCAGTTCCTATCCAGAATATTCCATTTCGAACATCAAGAATAGTTTTAAACACAGGTTTTTGTGATTTGGACCATTTGGTCAGCTAAACGTTTTTAATCTATTTTGCACTGTGTTTTCATTACTTTTTCTTTACAGCAAAAATTACACTCCCCTTTAATTTTATCACTTACCTACTGCGAAATTATATATTGCACATATAGTTTGTCCTTTATCATTTGATTTTTTTTTTATTTTCTGCATTTTCACTTATAAAGTTGTTATCAGATCAGCAAAAATCAAATTGTTCATGTCGAAAATCAGCAGTGTTTTACAAGACGACTGAAACTCAACCCGCCGAAATGTCAAACAGAGGATAATCTAAAATATTTGACAATCTGAACGTGTGTTGACCGTCTTTTAATAAAACGCCTAGGCATTTTATAATTCGGCTAGCCAGATAGTAAAATAAATGAAAGGTAAACGAAACTTTGACAATTTGGCCGCTATTTATAAAACGACTAGGCATTTTATAAAACGACGGGTTTTGTAATCTGGCTACGACATATACCAATACATTTTTAGTTATACAATTTATTATTATGGACAGTTTAAAAATGCCTAGACGTGTGTTAGATATAGATAGTCTAATTTGTAATGTACATAAGTATTTTACGGATAAAAAGAAAATGGCGGTCCTTTAAAATCGGTAATGTCTGTACAACAACGCGTATGCGATGCTCTAGGAACTAGTGAAACCAAATTAAGAGGAGTATTACAAAATCACAATAGTGAACTGCCGAAAGAAGATCACCGCAAAACTCGCCCATCATTGAAAACGAAAGATATTCCAGATGGAAAGAAATTTGAAATTCGTGATACCATTTATCGAATGAGGGTCAACAAGGAACATATGACCCTAAATACAATTCTCTCGGAATTAATAGATAGAAAATTTGACGACATTGGCAGAACAAGTCTATGACAAGTGATACATAACTTGCCATAGAATTAACTTTCTATAGTAGGCGTGGCCATTAGTACGTGTGGTTTACATGAATAATCCCATGTGGGGGTGATTTTTAATTTTTCCGTCCAGTTGTCAGATTACAACAATTTATTTTTTTAATTTGTAATATTTACTGACACATAAAGACTGCTTTATGTTATTTTAATTTATTAGTATTCCGAACGTGTATGAAGAGTCGATAACTGATCAAGCTTTGACTGAATTATTAATTAGAAATGGGTAAAGGAATTTCTAGTTTTTCAGTGTGTCTTAATTTTTATTTTAAAAATTTTAAATGTGTTTCAAAATAAGGTTGTCCTTTTTTTTGGGAAGTCAAAGTTAGGATTTAAAATATAATATCATAATTTAGTTACACATAGCAAACAAATATAAAACATTTAATGTTAACTTAATGTTTTCTGCTATTTTCAAATATGCAAAAAAAATCAAAACTGTGATTATTAAAGGGACATGGACCTGAATGTCCACACTTTTTTTTTATTGTGCAACACACTAGAAAAAGAATATGTAGCGAATATGAAAAAATGTACAGTGTGATTCGTAAGTTATGAACAATTAAACAAATGAGCAAACTGGATAAATCACACTGTAATTTGGTTATAAAGAATCAACGACTCATTAACTATAGGTTATTTATACCCATCTAGATATTCTCTATTTACCCTTATGTATGCGAATTTCCCAAAGAATTGCTCAATATAAAAAAATAAAAAAAAAATCTATATTTATTTCCGATGACATAATTGATTTAGACTTATTTATTCTGTCATTTATTGGTACATATTATACCCAAGACATTGAAATTAGAAACTTTTGCCTATATATTTTATTGCATAGAAAGTAGAGAATGTTGCCGATATTTTGAGATGTTCCATTTCATAGAACACATCAACCGTTTGTATGTAAATTATTTCTGCACCTCGCTAGTCATACTGTCTCTGCCAACACTTTCTTTTTTTTAATTATACCTGATGAGAAAAATTAATTTAGGTCTTACCTTTTAATGCTATTATTACAGATTTATGTTGCAACTGAATAATTTTATAATAGACAGAAATGTTTGCCGTTATGCTTTCCTTTATAAAATTATTTACCCATGATATAAAGACTAGGCATTTCCTTAAAATTATGATTATAACAAGTTTACCTCTTCAATCAAATAAATAATATGTGTTACTCAAAAGTCCCCTCTCGCCTCGTATATTTAGACCAGTGGTTCTCAAACTTTTTTGGTGACAGAACCTTTTTGAAAAGTGAAATATTTGACGGAGCCCTAAACACATTTCGGAAAAAAGTCCTTCTTGCTCTAGCCTCTTGTCAGGTCCCACCCGTTTCTTTGCGGAGCCCCTACAAACAAAATTCTCAAAATCATATACGCCTTCCTCTTCCTGACTTCTAAAAAAAAAGCTCCTTTATCCCAGAATATCAAAATCGTAAACTCACCTGGTTTCTAAGAAAAAGTTCCGCAGCACAAAAAACCAAAAACGTATATATACTCTTTCCTCTACCTGGATTCTAAAAAAAAGATCCTCCAACCCAAAATCCTCAAGTACCCAAATCGTATACTCCCTGTAAAAAAAACCCTAGTCCCGTTATAGCGATAGGTACGGCTTTTTTTATTTTCTTCGCGGAGCATACTTTGAGTAACTTTGAGTAACGCTGATTTAGACGATTATACCATTGCATTTAGATCTAAATACAATGGTTATACTTAAGAGTAATGTAATTTTGAGGATGAAAATAAAAGCTTGCAAGCGTCAAACATCTACTGTGACCAAAAAATTTTAGTGGGACCTTGAGTTAGGTGACACCTTATTTGAAAGGTATTTAAAATATTCATTCAGATAGATAGAAAATCTAAATAAGAAATAAAATTATAGAATAAAATCGAAAACTAATTACTAATACCGGAACAGTCATTGAATGATATTCAAAGGAAATTTAGATAGATGGAAATTTAATTTAACATTGTAACTTTGATTTTGCTTACTAAGGAGAATATTATTCTTGAACTATTTCTTTCTATTTGGGGCACAATGTTGTACTAGCGTACAAACTTTTTTCAGCGGTTTACCTCTCGTTTTATTGTCTTATAAAAATAGTTTTGTGAACATTTTAAATACCTAGTTTGGATTCACAAGCAGAATACAATCTAGTGGATTCTATAAAACTTTTTAGGCTATCTCTTAATTTACCGTAGAACGCAATCCTCGCTAAGCGCCAATTGTTACATTAAAATTGATGTGTTAACGTTGGTGCGTTCATTTTTACCACTAAATTAAACCTCAAAGGCAATTGCAATCATTTTTAGTGTCTAAACGTAATGCACAAGTTTCGACTGTCTGATGAACAGCCGGTTTAGCTTGGAGTGAAGAGGGCGGGGTCCGCTTAGTACCAAATCCAATCAACAAAATATTCTTGGGGGCCAGTTCGATTTAAAAATACCAAATAACTACGTTTCTTTTTCCTAACCGAAATCTAACAAATTTTGTGAATAAAATGAGAGGAAGAAAACTGCCTATATCATTAATTATATCCTCCAAAGTATAAATATGAAACCTCAGGCTTTAACACAAACGCTGTGGCTAAATCTAAAGATTATCAGACATAGCAGAGGATGTCCACAAGATGGCGTACTTTCACCACTACTGTGGACTATTCTTATGGATAACCGATCTCTTTCGACAAGGATATATTTAAAATGTATGCGGATGATCCAGTTATCATATATATGAGGAAGTACGATAGGGTGATTTCTAACATTCTTCAACAAGTCCTAAATACGATTAACAGATGGTGCGAGAGGAAGCAGGTATCTGCTAACCCCTGGAAAACTGTTATCGTCCCTTTTACCAAGAGAAGAGAGCTAGACAATCTTCGACAAACTGAGAAACGATTCCTTTTTAAAGAAGTTGAAATATCTAGAGAATATCCAAGATAAAAAACTTACCTGGAACCTCCAATTGGAAAAAACCATCAACAATGCCAAAATATTCCTCCGAAATTTAGTTTTAACACTCTACCTTTGATTTTGCTAAGGATAACGTCATTCTTGGACTTGTTTTATCCTTATCAGCAAGAAATAGATAGGTTCCCAATTCCACTCTCTGCAATTATCAAATGCACCAAATTCACTGGTATACAATAACGTTGGTTCCGAAAAAAATAATTATTCAATTAGTGAAAATGGTAAAGTAATCTGTTCCTAGTACCAAAGGTCGCTTAAAGTACCCAATAGGAAAACTAGGTCGAATTTTACAATCTTGTTTTTATTACCAAAGAACTTTGATTTATTTCAAAAAAATTCTAATACGGTCTGGAAATTATCCTCCTTCTATTTTTTGTTTATTAACTGTATTCATCAAAATTATTCTATATCCAAATAAAATTAGTCATAGCGACTCTTTAATGTCTTAATGAATAATACATCAGTACCATTAATATCGAATCTTTCAGGCGTTCATTTTCAGTCTCAAAATTTCATTAGCCCTCCAAAATATACGAGAGGTAAAGGGACTTTTGAGAAGCACTGTATATCTATAGTGTTTTACCATACAGTGTGGAACAGCCAAATGGAATAAATTCGGTAATAATTAAATGGGGGCGCATTCAGAAAAATGCTCAGACACAATCGATTGGTATTTTTAGTTGCACAATATTTTTAACAAAAACTTTTTATACAGAGTGTGTCCAGTACCAACTTTCTTAATTTAATGCAACCTGTATATTTCTCAATTTTTGGATTCTTTAAAAAATGTTCGACATATTTTATGTACTGTGACGAAAGTCTAATTTATTTTTAGTTTATTTATTTAAAAACACACTATTTATAATTTTTTTCAGACGTACTTTCTAATTAATGTAATACTAACTAACAATTCTAATTTATTTCTTACACTTTAACTTTCCAATACAATGTTCTATATTAAAACTAAACTCGGCACTGATACGTCGGCTATTTATATTAGTCCAACTCCGCTACTGGAAAATGCTAGAGGCTCTCGAAGATTCCACTTCAGTGACTAAACGGCACTTTCCGACGTTCCAGCTGTTTCTAGTAAATCAGCGGCAGGCATTCCGTCGTATTCTTGTATATTAGAGACGCGGGCCGGCTGTTTCCACACGTCAGCGTTGCTTCGATCACGAGTCGGTTGCCATGTGAAGGTTGCGTGCGTACACAGGGTCGGATTAGGAATTTCATGACAGTACTATGTCCTATAACTAACTGTTTTGAAAATATTAAAAGTTTTCCGATTTATTACAAAAATTAACATTAATAAAATAAAATACAGAAATTCGTTACAACAGACTCAAAAACTAATAATTATTACTATTTATTTCTTGATAATGTAACAAAAAAACACATCTCAATGTAAGAGATGTTCAAAATGCTCACCGCGAACCTCTTGGCAACATCCTAATCTGAAATAAAAATACCTTACTTTTGACATATCCTCATGAGAAAAAGTCTAATTATGCCATTCCATCGATCCTCGCCTCCCTATCCACCGATTTGGAAATGGTACCGCCGGACATTGATTTGGTAATGGGACGGTGCTCCATCTTGCTAAAACCATATCATATTCGCTGAAACTTGTGGGTTTGGTGGATCAAGATATAAGTTTGTTAAAGTTGGCACATTACTATGGACCACTGCTAAATAATTATCGCCATTAAAATTTCCATTAATGAAAAAGAGACCTATGATATGATCGCCAATAATTCCTGATCAAACATTAACCTTTTCAGGGTATTACGTATGTTCTTCTCTCATCCAATGAGGATTTTCCCTAGAACAATAGCTGCAATTTTGACGATTAGCATAACCGTGAAGTGTAAAGGTACACTCATCAGAAAACAAAACATGTTCTAACTGGGTCACCATATTATGTAACATTGCCATCATTTGTTCACAAAATTGCGTTCTCCTATCAAAATCGTCTTTCATGAGTTTCTGAGTTGCTATTTTTTTATAAGGATGCATTTTGTTTTCTTTTAATATTCGAATAATCCATGAATGGCTAATATCGAACATTTGGGCTGCTTGTCGACCAGAAGTATGTGGGTTTTCCTAAAACTTAAACATAATATCCAATTGTGTATCATTAGTTATTGCATTGGCAGCTGCTTTTTTTATATGCCTTACATATCTAAGCTCGCGAAACTGCTTCTCTATTTTATTAATTGTTCGTTGGGATATACGCGACAAAGGAAATTTTTCATTAAATAAGCGAGCTACTTCCATTTGTGTCCGTGTGTTATCTCTATAACCAATCATCTAAAGAATTGTTATTTTGTGCATTTCTGTTAACCCATTCACTGCTAATGGCGTCTGAAGGCGTCATACATCTACTACAGTACAGTGCGCATGACGTCCTCAAACGTCATTCGTATAACCTTGTTTTAAATGAACCATTTTTCTGATATGCTGTTAAGGAAATTCAAACTACTATAACACTGACAACTATTGTTGTGCCGTCAAATAACAATATGCTAAGGTAAGGCGTTTTAAACAAAAGTAAATAAAACTATTTAAGTACAGCTTTTTTTATTTCATATCAGTAAAAAGGAACGCTGAAATGGGTTTTGCTTACTTTCTTATTATCAAGACCTAAATGGGAAATAAGTATTGAGTGTGTTGTAGCGAATTTATGTAATTAAACAATTTTATTTTGTTAATGTTAATTTTTGTAATAATTCGGAAAACGTTTATTATTTCCGAAACAGGTATAGGACATAGTACATAAAATATGTCTAGAATTTTCTGAAGAACCCAAAAATTGAAAAATATACATGGTATTGCATTTAAAACAAGAAAGTTGGTATTGGCCACTGTTACATGGCATACCCTGTATAAAAAGATTTTTTAAAAAAAAACGCAACTAAAAATACCAATCGAAGTATCCGAGCGTTTTTTCGAATACGTCACCATTTATTTATTACCAAATTTTTTCCATTTGACTGTTCCACACTGTATATATTTTTTTATCCAGAATATTTGACAATAGTATTGGTAATTTAATTATTAAGCAAATTGTTCATGTTTAAAAGAACGAACTATAAAATACCAATAAAAGATTTAATACCTACCATTTTATCCCTATAAAAATTCTAACACGTTCTTGTATTTATATATATTTGGCAGGGTTAGACTATGTTGAATATTGTATTAAAGAATATATTAATGTGCAGGCAAGCTGCAGAACAAGAAGAAGAACCTACATTAAGACCTTCTCCTCTTCCATTTAGACCTGAAAGGCCAATACCAATTACCAGAGAACGACAGGTAGAAATATCATCATCTAGACCAACACCATTGCCAGTATTAAGACAATCTGTTCAAAATAGACAGATTCCAAGACCAATAAGACCTGTAGTTAGACAAGAACTAGATGACGACGAGGAAGAAAATATTCCAAGACAACCTATAAGGCAAAAGGTAGGCTTCTGAAATTTTTTCACATCAGGCATTTCTTCTGAAAATCGTTTATGTAACGATTTCATTGTTACATGTTCACCTTCGTACATCTTATATATAACTTGCATCAACTTACTTAATATCAAAGAACTGACTTTTGTTTTACTTTGGCTTACTTTTTTAGACATTTTCACATACTTTGTTGGTTTACTAAGTATATACAGGGTGTTTTTTTAATATTGCGAAAAAATTCAGAGGCGTGTCCCTTAGACGAACTGAAGCAAAAAAGTTTCTATGAACATATGTCCTACGCCTCTTAGATTTTGAACTACAGGGTGGTAAAGTTATAAGAAAAAAACAAATTTTTTTCGGTATATTTAATACCCCTGTAGATATTTTTCTGAAAATTGGTTCGCAGTTTCTATGCATCCAAAGCCATTTTCCGATAAACAATTTCAACTTTTACATTCGAAAAAAATAAGTTTTTTTCTTATAACTTTACCACCCTGTAGTTCAACATCTAAGAGGCGTAGGACATATGTTCATAGGAACTTTTTTGCTTCATTTCGTCCAAGGGACACGCTTCTGAACTTTTTCGCAATATTAAAAAACACCCTATAGATAGTTTTCTGCGAAATATTTAATGCCTCTGCTGCCATTTCAAAGAGACTCGCAAATAGATTTGTGTTTCTTAAAATAGGATTAAAGTTTTTGAATAATCAATAAATCGTTTCACCATTTTGTTGAATACTTATAAAAACTTTTGAAATATGAAAATATACAAATTTTTAACAAATTGACAAATTCAAAATTATTTTGATAAATGCCACCTGACATAATACCAATGTAATTAATCTACCACGTGCCAAAATCTAGTAACTTTTTGAATAATCTATTTTACATTTTTTAAACAATAAAGCTAGCGAATGGACTTGGGGTATTTCCAAGACTTTAAACTTCTAAAACACTTTAAGAATGTACAGAACACAAGCAAAATACTTTTAACTCTTATTTAAACCCTCCAAAAATTAATTTGCAACAAAAATATAACCTTATTAAAAAATAATCGTTATTCAACGAGAATGAAATACTGTTTGCTGTCTGCCACAGTACGTTATGCGCACAACACAGCAAGTAAAGAATACAAAAACATTCGTACTTTAGACTTTTGCGAGTTGTTTGTCATATTTTTGTATTACCTACGTACATTTTTGTCTGTATGTTGTCTTACTGCTTAGCTTCACTATAATTTTTATATGTTTTTGCCACATAATAATTTCGCCTAAACTCACATGTCCCTAACAAAAATCTTATAAAACAAACCTCGTTTATGATTAGCAAATTGTGATATCTGACAGTTTTATTTACTATTTTTCGTAAAATAACTAATAAAAAAAGTATTTCATATGCAGCCAACTTAATTAGACACCTCGTATAAAGCGATAGAGCATCTCTGCTCCTTGACAAATAATAGGTTTTAAAATTTTTACATTTAATAATTTTCTTATTGACGTTTTAAGGTTAGAGCACAACAACCACAAGTATTTAAACCAGCACCTCTTAGACCAGCAACTAGATCTCAGTACGATGACGATGGTTCAAATAAAAAGAGAAAACCAGTTGTACAAATTTTAAGGAAATACAGAACTGATAACCCAGACGGTACTATTACTTGGGGATTCGAGAACGAAGACGGTACTTTCAAGGAAGAAACTTTGGGTATCGACTGTACTATCAAAGGAAAATATGGTTATATAGATCCAGAGGGAACTAAAAGGTGAGCGATTCAGTTTTTGTGAATTAGGGGTTTCTATAAAATAATTAATCTCCCTTTTACAACAATAAAGACAGAATTCAAATAAATGAGGTTATGTTTTCTCAAATCATTAAATTATTAAATATTCGTTAATATTTTTCTAGAAAACATTTAAGAGATCGATAAAAAATATGTATAAAGAATGCCAGTTCACCATGATTAAAATTAATAAACAACAGTTCGTGAAATATCATCCAACTCTACTAATAATGATATTTCAAAGGTTTTAGATGTGGGTAAAAAAGATGTTTTGTGAATTGGGTTATTTACGTTATAATAATAGGTACATTTTTTAATTTACACCCTCTTGGTTAATAAGTTGTTTGATCTGTGGATTGATGAGTCAGTAAGACAGTCAGTTCCTTTTTTTTATAGATAGTATCAGAGTATATCTCAAAACAATTATTCTTTAAAGTCCTGCAATTAGAAATCAAAAATTAAGAATTTGGGATATACGTACTATTTTTATTTTTATGTGATAATTTAAAAAATTTCAATGGCTTAAAACCATTTTTAGGATACCAAGAGGGAATGAATTCACCCCCTACAATCCCCAACAAAAAAATAGCAACCTCCTACTTGTCATACATAATTGGAAAGCTGGTTGAAAAGGCTTTTAAACAAAATTAGATATTAACTATACAGGGTGATTCAATAACACATAATAATTAAAATCCTATTTAAAAATAAAATCTAAATTAAATATTTTCAAATATTTTAAGTTCGGCAGTCAAAATAAATTGTTTTTATGCAATTTTAGGGATTAAAATGATCGGCCCTAAAACTACAAACCATGCTATCATAAATATAGTGTAAAGTACAGTATACGTTAACACTATAACAGTAGGTACTTAAGTGATTTTTTTGCAATTTTTCTTTTCCTAAAGTGCATTAATAACGATTAAAGCACGGGACTGAAGTGGATTTTTACTCCTCGACGAATTGCACAAACTTTTATTCATTAATTAATTAATTTTTATTTATTTATTTTGTAGATTCTTCTGTTGATATTGCTCACGAGTAATTCCTTTGTTTGGTATTATTTCGATTACTATTGCCCGTACCTTTAGTGCAACTAATTACTAAATTAATTAAATATTTCTAACATAATTAAAAATTTCTAATTGAAATTAAACCCCCTTTCTATTTTTAAACATATTTTTAATTATTATTTACTATTGAACTACCCTGTAAGGGACCTAACTTATATCATTAAAAACCATTTTTTACTAGCTTTCCAATGATCTATGACAAGTAGTTGGATGCCATTTTTGCTGAGATAGTTGTTAGGGTTAAATGGTCACCTTGTATGACGTTGATGATACTAATTTTATTCCTTGGATCTATATCACAAGTATCTTGTCCCAATAACAAAATTATTTGTAAATGTTTGGTTTGATAGAGAATTACATTCAACTTATTCTCAAGTAAAAATATTCCAGCTAGCTCTCAATTCTTCTATATCTTACCTTTGACTTTTGTTCTAAAACCATTATTTATTTTTTACAGAGAATTCGAATATGAAGCTGGCAACAAATGTGATCCCAATCAAGCTGCACTCGATGAAGAGGAAGAAGAAGCATTAGAAAATGCTCAAAGAGCGGCGCCCAAAAGGCCTGTTAACTCTGGAAAACAGCCCCAGTTTCAATATAGGCCGCAGTTAGCTCCAAATTAAGCTGATTGTAAATTGCCATGCGTATTTAATTTTTTTTTATATTTTTGTTAATAAAATTTTTACCTACAACAACACAAGTAATTTTACTGCAGCGTTAATAATATTTATTATCTAATGTACGACAATAACTGGTAGATAAAAATGCAACTTTTTGTTATGACATGCATAAAAATATCGTATGTAAAATTTTAATCAGAAATCAAAAAGTGACCTTGGAGTTTTTACATCACAAACAATTGGTTTGCTACGAAGTGTTGCACCAAGTGTTGCTTGAAATACTGGATCATTGTCGATTTCCTATGCAATAGGCCGTAAGGCTTATGGTAAATTGGGATACTGTACAGAATGCTTAGACTTCGGTTTGATGTCCTTTGTTAATAAGAAAAAAAAAACAATTTGTGACATGGTCTTTCGGTTCTTTCCACAGAATTGGTTAAAAATATAAAATTTCGTTCTTGCCTCAATCAAATTTAAACCGTTTACAAACTGTGCACAACCGCTCATGCGCATTGGAAGTAGTTTGCAAGAAGTTCGTAGCTAGCTGCAGACACAACCATTTAACACTTACTTAGGGCCATTTACACCACTAATCTTTAAGAAATAGGGGAAGCTTAAAATGGCATGTTTATTGGAAAAATTTAATTTTAAGCTTGGCTTAGGTATTTCTCATAGATTAGAGGTGCCTTACACTTACTTCTTTACCTTGTCATTTGTTGTAACCTGTCATCTGATTTTGCTTACCACGTTGTTGTTAAATCTAACCATGAAATATTGTTAAAATTTTTCAATAACTATTGGTTAAATTTGTTTATCTAATTCATATTTATACTTAATATTCATTACCAAAGCTAGAAAAATGGTAGTATTTTTTATAAATAGTTGGGACTGTTCGTCTGCATTTAAAAAGATACTGAATATAAAAATATAAGCCAGCCATGTTGCACACCAAGAATTTAGCTTTTGTAACTTTTAATTAGTTTTTAAAATGCAAAGAGAACAAATTTTCAACGGCATTACGATGGCAAAGTGAATATGGAGAATGAATTGACAACATAAACAATAATAGTGAACCTAACGTGAGATGATACAGATACAGAAAAAAATAATACCGTTTTTTATCTCCCTATTAACACAATGTATCTCACTAACGCAGTGCAATCGAAGTAGTTTCCCTCTATGCATGAAAACGTTTAATTAAAGAAAATCTACATTACATTGTAATATTGTAACTTTCTTTATCCTCTTGTTTTCATCTATGTAACATATACTTTTCCATATATGCCCAGCTTAGAAATGTTTACTTTTATGATGAAACAATGCAGACGTTCAGTGATAGGTATGATAGCGTTACCTTGTTACGTTTTTTCAACGTTACTGGAAGTTCTCAAAAATGATGTCTTCATAAGCAACCAGATGTGACATTCCTGTTATATCCAAGAAAGCCTTTTTAATTCTTGTAAATGTTATTATAAGGCCCATAAAATAAAATGGTACAGACAAAACAGGCTTCTTGTAATACATTATCACCGGTTACGTAAGTAGCAAGCGATCAGTGGGTATCTCTATAATATATAAACGCCAAACGGTGTCCTCCTAGACGGTTAGGTCTGCGGTGTAAAGATTAAAGATCTTAAAATTATGTAACTTGTGCAGAAATGTTTGTAACAGGAAGTAACTAGTTTGTTTCAAGTAAATAGTCAATGATAATGGTAAGAAAGTACCAGAGAACCCCCGAGGCAAAGCCCTATCAAGTTTATTCTAAAGAAAATTTGGAAAAAGCCATAGAAGCTGTTGAAATGGATATGTCAAAAAATTAGCTGTCGAAACATATGAAATACCTAGGACAACTTTAACTCAGAAGATATTTGGAAAAAATTCGGGTTCAGTAAGCCGCCCAATAGTCCTGTGAGCCGAAGAAGAGCGGAGTATATCAGAGTGGTGGCTAATTGGGGGTTCCTTTTGACAAGGACAATAATCGCTAAATACCTGGACAAACAAGAAAAAAAGTTAGTATCTTCAAAAACTACACTCCAGGAAAATATTTTTTGGATGCATTTATCCAGAGGAAATGGCTCTCCATTCGCCTGGCATCGAACATTAAAAGGTCCAGATCTTCCATGGACCTTGGAGATATTTAAATATTTTTCACCAATATAAATGAGGCTCTAAGCGATGCAGACGATTTTAATATATACAATTACGACGAAACTAACGTCACGGACGATCCTGGGCCCAAGAAAGTGGTGGTTCCCCGAAACACAAAAAGGGTAGAAAGGGTACAAAACCACTCTCGTACCTCCATTAGCATTATGGTGTGCAGAAATGCGAAGGGGGACCTCCTGCCTCCCATGGTTGTCCCTAAATCTGGACTCCTTTATGAAAACTGGACAGAAGGAGACCCTACAGGAACAAAATAGGCAAGCAGCCCTTCTGGTTGGTTTAACATGAATTTGTTTGAGATGTAGTTTTTGAAACTCTCCCGCACATAATGAAAACCTGAAAACCCGGTGCCACAACTATTGTGGTGGGTGATAACCTCGCCAGCTACTTTTCGCCTGCAGTTATTCAGTCCTGTAAAGAGCATGCTATTTATATTACTCTATTCCCTGCAAACTCTACGTATCTAATGCAGCTAGTGGATGTGGCTGTATTTGGACCGATGAAGAAGTACTGGAGAAAGATTTTAGACCAATGGAGGAAAAAAAAGCCGATAAAAAGGAAATCTTTCAAAGGAACAGTTTCCCAATTTAATCTCTAGGCTATGGAACGGCATGTCTAACATTTGATTTAAAAGACAGGTTTACGTTTGTTATTTTAATGAAAACCGGATACGGGAAACAAAAAAAATCCATAGTCGTTCTTTTATTCCACATAAGCTTGATTTGCTCGATGATCACGATGATCTACTAACTCTACTCCGCTCCGTGAGGTACTCTTCAAACGTAGCATGTGTATTAAATCAACGTATTTTAATTTCTTTGATTTTTACTGAAGACAAAAATCACTCATACTTAGTCAATCCCACAAGAATTCAAGTATGATTCATCCTTTATCTACAATTTACAGGATAAGATCAGTACCTATTCAATGGTTTTTGTTTTTTATGTTCTCTTTTTCTTGAGGTGTCTTCAGGACGTAAGTTTGTTATATTTTATTGCATTGAATTGCATTTATATCACTAATAGAGGAAGACAATAATGATGGTTTAATCAAGCCGAAAGTGCTTACCTGATATTAAACCACCCCATGTTTGTAGTGTACACCATTCAAACATCCTAGAATTAATGAAAATTGATTAGCATGATATTCTTTTCCAAATGTTAAGACAGTAAATAAATTTAAGTCATTTAAACAAGCTCTGTCAAAGGTTATTGGGCTCAAATATTTTAATGGACCGTTTTGTAACCGGCTGCTGCCTGTTTTTTGTTTATTTGTGGTTTATTTCCTGTGTCTGTAAGTTTCATAATTTTAATACTTAAATAGACTGAATTCATTTAATATTTATAAAATTTAAATTAAAATACACAAATTTTAAATTAAGTACTTTATTTAATATAATTTTTTAACTGTATCAAACTACTGATATAGTACACATTGAGAAAAAATCAGCCAAAATTTTGAATGCTTTGTGAATGATTATAGGTAGGTAAGTATAAAATAAATAAAAAGGAAAATAAATATAGTGTTGTACTTAAGTACCAAACATTCAAAATTCTTGCTACACAAACTTAAAAAATTATTTATTTTTCTTATTTTACGTGCTGTTTCTAATACAAATACGTGTTTGTTTCAGGGGAATAATATTGGAGAATTGCTTTTCTATTCACATTTATTTTTTTTGTTACATACAATTTATTTTACTATTTATTTTTACTACACAAAATACAAGAACATCTCCGTCAGAAAAAGGTTTTAATATGAAGAGTTTTTCATTTCCGTACTTAAAAATGGGACGATATTATAAATAAAAATAGCTGCCTAGAAATGTATTACTTCAAAATACTTTTAAAATAAACCTATGGCACATTGTCCATTCTGTAAATTTATTAATACATTTTCGATGCATTGTCTTTATCTCGACTTACAACCATGTTGGCACTCAAAGAATTAATACTGATAAAAAAAATAAATGTGATGGCAACTAACCAAACTTTTGATTGATACATTAAACTTTCATTTGTAGGAGAAATACTTTTTGTTGATTTTTACAACCACCAATCTAATTAATTTACATGTTATATACAAGTAAATTTCAACTAATCGTTATGAGGTACGCCTGCTTCGTAAGCAACACCACGCCCTCTGGAAACTGAACCCCTTATGGTGGCAGTCTTCTTCTTTATCATCTGCGCGACTACCATTGATAAATTTTTCGAATTCTTTTGTTTCCTCTTCGAGTTCGTCATCCCGATTGACAGTTGTAATCTCGTCGAAATTAGCTTTAGCATCTTTGATTGATTTGGTCCCCGCTTTTTTTGCCTGCTTTTGATTTTGTTGTTTTAATTCTGCAAGAGTATCGAAGGTGGAACTTTTGTTGATTTCTACTACGACCTGCAAAAATAATGTTATTTAGATAGCGGAAAATGTTATTCTAACATGTACAGTATAAAATTAAAATAAACAAAATAGTAGATTGTTTAGAGAGTGACGAAAGTAGCATTTTCTGCAAACGTGAGAACAGTTTATCAATCGAGGCGCAGCCGAGTTTGGTAATATTCTCATGTAGCAGAAAATGCTTTTCGACGATTAAAACGCTATACTTTTTCTATAACCATGGCTTACTATATAGGATGTACAAGAAGTTGAATGAGTTGAATTATCTTTAAAGTGTTCTCGACGAAATCTGAGATTTAGGGGTAAACCCCGTTTTACCATGTTTGTTTTGGCATCTACCTTTATATTATAATTAAACTTTTTCTTTATAAAATCTCAAAAATGAATTCTAAGACTGCAACAATAATTTTATAATATCTGAAATTGCAACTACTTACTTTCGTCACTAGAGACGAAAGTTCACGTTATGAGATATTCTATCACTGGTGTCGGAACTGGCGTTTTCGGTTGGAGTAAAA